CACCCCTGGTAATTATACATTTTGTATTTATTCCTAACAAAAAGAGAAAAGCTTCAGTGCTGGTCTCATTATACTCACCCAGTCTCCTGCTGGAAGCTTTTCTCTTTGATGTTTGTTCCTGCGTTTATTTTCCTTTCCTTTATAATAGAAGAGAGAAATGAAAAAAAACTGCTCTGGTGGTTATTTCTCAATTATTTAAGAACTCTCTTCATGTAGAATAGCAAAGACTTTTTTTTTTTTGCTTCACTACACAATGTCCTCAACTGAAAAAGGTCAACTTGGACAATTTGTTTAACAGCGCCACCTGAGGTAAATTCTTCTCGTTTTTTTTTTCTTGTAACCATTCAAACAGTAAGTGTAACTGCTGACCCTGTAGAAGCAATGTCCCTTTTGTTGCAGTGCGGCAACGATCTATGAGATAGAGGGTTTCCAAGTGTCAGCTTTTAGTGATTTCTGCTAAAACCACCTGAAAGTTTTTCAGAAGGAGTTCAGTGCCTTTTTGCTCAGAGCGGATTACTTACAATGAAACTAGAGAGCAACAGCTTTTAGAAAAGTCTCCTTCGAGTTCGCTGCAATGTTCAATGCAGTAAAACCTGTATTAACAAAATGTTTCATCTTGACAGTTTGCTGGTTGAAAAGGTTCTTTTTAAAAACAAGGAGCGGAAAGAAGCTGCAGCACCAGTAGTGCTGCTCTTTATGGTCCACTTTAAGTGAAGTACAAACCCTCGTTTTGAATCTTCAGCATCAGTTTCCTCGACTTTTACAGACACAAACCCCATTTGCAATAAAGCTGTAATGTCGCATAAAACAAATGAAAAGAGAATGCGATATTTTTAACTTTCAAATTTTATTAAAACTAACCATCCATCAAAACTTAGTACAAAAAGTAAAGAAACTTGTGTTTGGTATTTCTTTGTTGTAACAATTCTATTTGACAATAAATCTTGTACTGTTGGAAAGCGTATTCATTTTCCTTTTGCCACATTTGTAATGAACATGCATTTGTGGGATGAGCAGTAGAGCTGTAGGTTCCACACATATTTAGCTGTTATTGATGCTTGTTTTGAACTTCTGGTCACCCCAGGTGCTGCCAGTCAGGTGACCAGTTTATTGCTAAGGAGCATTGTTCCAACTGAGAAACAATCTAGTTATCATACATCTGTTTACTTTTTGTTCTTAGTTTATCTGCTTACTTTTTCTTGTTCAGTGTCAGTGGGATCTGGTATCTCCATCGGTCAATGGGCAACAGGTGGGGTACAAACTGGACAGGTCCCCACACAGACAAACCATGTGAACACACACCTATTAATTTAAAGTCACCCGTTAATCTGAATGTTTTTGGACTGGAATACTTCAAGAAAATCCACACATGCATGGAGCAATCAATGGGATCCCAAAATCATATTTACAGCAAATATTGGCTCTCGGACAAAAAAAACTATTTTAATAGCATAGACACAAACTGAGACAAGTGAATGGTTGGAAATATGATCCCTTTTTCCATTTACATGATAAAGAACAGAAAACAGCAAACCAGATATTCTCTGTTCTTATTGTTAACATGTATCATAAAACTATTCGGCTTGTTTGAAGGAGTATAGTGAATATGTGTGAGAGAGGGCTTCAAATTTAAGAGAATAATTCAACATTTGAGGTTTTTATTGCATAGAAACTGCTATAGGAATAARCCGAAACACTGTAAGCAAAAAGGAAAAAGTCATTTTTATCAATTTTTTATGAACTCATTTGGCCGTGTTTATTTCGAAAGGTGAAAATAGTCTCCTTCTCCTGTTGCAACTCCCACCACCTCCATCCACCTCCTCCCTCTCTCCCCTCCTCTCTAACTCTGTGAACACATCTGTCATCTGTGTCCGGTGAGGAATTCTTTTAACTGGACCTTTCATACATTTTTATATTAAAACATCCTTTAAAGTGGAGGGAGAATTGGATTTATTGTGATTCGAGCTGCGCAGGTGAACAGGATCAGTGGGGTTTTGATGTGGTACGTATGCAAATGAAATTATAATTTTGCTATTTTTTTCTTTAGGTCATAATTAGAAAAGTCTTAAAGTGACAAGAAAACAGGAAAATTTTCTTTTTTTGATGAACAAATAATTCATGTCATTAAACATTGTTTAGTTGGGTTTATTTATATATGCAAAAATCTGGTCCTGTACTTTAGTTTTTGTTTATATCAAATGTAAAAGTCAACAAATTTACACATTTGAAGGTTTTTAGGAAACAACTGTTAGAAAAGTGATGCTAAATATTGTAAATTATAGTTATTGTTGTTTTTAGTCTCCATGAATGAATTGATTTTTAAATTTATCTGCATAAATTATTGAGTTTTTTTCTTGCAGAAATAGTAAATTTGCAGAAAAGTTGTTAAAAAACATACCCTTTCTAACAAACATGATCTTAACATAGAAAACTAAAACCATCTTTCAAAGTGAGTGTTTGGTTTTCTATAAATTGATGTAAAAATAGACTTATTTTAGATGCCCAATGTTTAAATATTTCTATTTTCCTTCATGAAACCAAGGATATTCTCTTTTAATTGTTAGCACTCTTTTTTTAAAGCTTTCAAATCAAATTTTGTTGTGCTGTTGATTATTTATGTGCTGGAATACATGAAATGAGGTTTAGAGTTGCTTTGGAATAATGGTTGAAAGACAGGAGGGAAAAAGCTGAACTCTGATACACTCGGCTCTGAATGCCCGAGGAAACAAATAGAAACCCCTCCTGTTCATTAATTTCCTGACATGTATCCATATCCGCAGCAAACTGGACGCTCACACTCATTTTTAATTATTAATTTGCCTCATTTGTCGTCCTGCTGATGACATCACCAGCTCTTTGTTGCTGTGTTGATACACGATCCAGATAATATCAACGTGGCGACACCGGATACCTTTTTGTTTCGTGATTGGGGGTTTGGAGAATTTGTTGGTGAAATGTTGAATGAATTTAACTTGAAATCGTTTCTTCATACTGTAGTTTTCTTTCAGCGAGCCAAACTATTAGTGGGCATCAAGTGTAAAACAAAATGTTAATAAAAATGTCACCAGCATATTTTCATTATTTAGCCCTCTTTGAGTGTTAAAATTTTACACTTTATTGACCCAGGGCACCTGTTCTCCTATGTTTGTTATGTTCTGTCTTCTTCTGAATGGGTGTTCTGAATTTCATTGTGCTCTGTACAATGACAGTAAAGGTCTGTCTAATCTAATCTTATTAAGCTTACTGTTCTTACATTTTGCTAATTTTTTAATAAATGTTCAACTTAAACATGAAAAAATATATAATACTAAATTCTGAATCTAAATGGGTAAATAAATGTAAAAGTTAAATAAATGTGGCTCCATGTTGAAATTTACATTTAGGTATTTCGAGATGGAACACAGAGTTTGTCGTTGCTGCTCGGCTCTTATGATTTCATCATCCTGAGACAAAAGCTACAGCTAACTCTGCTAACACTCCACAGCTTTCCGACAAGGCCTCAAACAGTTGCGGCTGGTGTCCAAGCAGTGGTTATCAGCAGCTAGCGTTGACAGTTGTTGCAGGATGATGACCCTGGTTAGCTACCGCTAACTGCTGCTGCTGCTTCTAACAAGAGTTAGAGTTAGCATTAGCTGCTTTGGAGCATCAGCAGCATTAGCGGTTGCTATTGTGAAATCCTAACGAACCAAGCACCAAAGGCAAAGGCTGCATTCCATTCTGGAATTCCTAAATTTAAACTTTAACATCTACATTCAGATTAAAGGATTTAATATTTACTTTTAATATTGAAATTGAACGTTTAGTAAAAATTAACTAAATGTAAGAACAATGAGGTAAATAATGAAATGTTAGAGGAAAAATGATAATGCTCAGAAAGTGAACTAAATAATAAAAATGTGTTGGTGACGCTTTTTATACATTTTATTCTACACTTGGYGCCCCATAAACTATTTTGTGATATTTTACAGCAGGATAGAAATTATTTGTCAAACTGGCTGTGTACAGAAATAAAGAAAATGTCATTCTGAAAATGATCCAAAAATACATGAARTGGCAGTCAAGTTTCAAAGAAAAACTTTAAAAGAACCTTCAAAGAGCACAAAGAACTGCTTAAAACTGTCTAATTGGTGAACTAAAGCAGTGGTTCCCAAACTTTTTGTCTTCTGACCCACAAAATATCCATGGCAAAAACCTGTGACCCCAAATATTACTGGTCTGAGTACACAAACTTCGTTAATAACCCTAAAAACACAGGCTTTTTGACGATCTAAACAGTTTATACACAAATATAAATACTTTTTTATACTTATTTTGTGTTTTTGTAACAATTATAGGGAAATATTACATCTGCAATTATTTTATTACCCTTTAAATTGATTTCTGGAGATTATCCAAGGTGCTTCATGACCCATAATTGGGTCCCTAGCCCAGCTTTGGGAACCAAAGTTCAGTGGTTCCCAAACTTTTCAGCTTTTGACCCACAAAATAACAGTAGCAGAGAACTGTGCCATTTTTGGATGATAAACATTTGTAATCAGGTCAACAAAACATGGGCATAGTAACAATATTTTTTATACTACATTTATCCATTTTAAATAYACTAACCTCACTCATTTGTAACAACTAAGGCAAAAATGTAATTAATTCAGAAAATCTTTTCAGGACCCCACCTTGATGTTTCGGGACCCCACTTTGGGTCCCGACCCCAACTTTGGGAAACACTGAACTAAAGGGTTTATGCACCTTATATTATTTTAAGTTACTGTTTGAGAGTGAAAAAATATGAACGATAAGTTATTTTGAGGATGGATCAACTGTGACGGATCATTCCAACAATCTTCTTTCTCTTTGATTCTCTTCATCAGAACAGGGAAGGGAGTCTTCTCAGCCATGAAGCTCGGCAAAATCAAGAGCTCTAAAGACGACCACAAGAGAGGAGGTAAAACATCCCTCATCACTGCCGCTGTTTAAGCCATCAGTGTTTGCTTATAAATTCAGTTCTGAAGAAGATGAGCGAGTTGTTTATTCGTACAATCGATCTTTTTGATCTGTAATAAGTTAATAACAGCCAGTCTGTGTGATGTGAGCAGACGAGCCGGCCGTCCTGGAAATGGAAGATCTGGACAAGAAGGCCATGCGCCTCGCGGGGATGCTGGAACCAGACACCATATCTCTAGCCTCTGTGACAGCTGTCACCACCAACGTTTCCAACAAAAGGTCCGACACAATGAAACACAACAAACACACACAGATCAACACACTGCAGGGTTGTTACGAACAAGGTTGTCTCTGGAATAGCCTAAATATTTCTGAAACTGAAAAAAAAAATGCAGCTTTGGTTTCTACCCTACGGGCCCTGTACCGGGCCCGCAGATGGCATCATTGCGTTGTTGTTTGCTAAAGCAGGTGTAAAACTTATTTTTCCCAAATGTTTTCTAAGTCCGTCACAAAAGATGTCTTTAATGTTTGAAAATGAGTTGCCAAATAATTTTTGGATAAATATATATGATTTTAGAGCTATACAAACATTTGTAAGTTACTTGAACCGTCGCGGACCTTTTCAGTATCAGGAAGTTCTCTGCATCTGTTACTGTGCAAGTTTTGGTGCCATACCCCTCCATTTGGTATCGTTGAAAATTCAGGGATATACAGTGGTTTGCAAAAGTATTCATACCCCTTGAACTTTTCCATATTTTGTCACATTACAACCACAAACATAAATA